TTTACCTAACATGGCATTTTTCAGGAATGTAATCATCCCCACACTTAGTTAATGAGAGATTACTGTAACAAATTCTGAAAACACTTATAGATTTTCATGAATCTTATTTTAATTGAGAATTAGCCAAAGGGAAAGAGCAGAAAGGTAAGGGCATAGATTTTCCTCTACTTACGTGTTCATTTACTACTTTTATAAAGATAAGAAACATTTTACCTCTTTTGTTTGTTTTTAAATCTCACTGTCTAGAAAGTAAATTCAAGAGTAAGAAACATCATACCTTTTGGCATAGACCAATTTATTGTTGATTTCATTGTCTGTTAACATGCTGAGCAGTATGTTGGCTGGTAACACATCTTTGTCACAGAAGTAACAAACCAACATTAAAGGTAAGACGTGCCATTTTTGCCACTGAGAAATACACCTTCTTCCCTGTTATAGAAATGGCTAGGAAAGATCTGGATCTATATCCGGGAAGATATAATTTCAACAAATCACAGACTCTCAGGATTGAAAGGAATATGGAATGTCATTGAATTTTCAACCAAAAGCAATACGGATTATAGAAAGAATGTGTGCTATGGAATTAGAGGACTTGGATCAAATCACAGCTTTACCACTTAAAAACTGTACATTTTGGGCAATTTATTTGACCTCTCTGGTCCTTGGTTTCCTTATCTATAAAATGGGGATAGTGTCTACATTATAGAGTTGGTGAGAGAATTGAAGATAATAAACGTAAATAAACTGGAACAGACATAATAAGCATTTTGGGAATGATTGTGGTTGGTGTGATCATAATTGTCCTACCAAGTGGTCATTGAACTTACTTGAACATTCTGGTGACATGGAATTCACTAACTGCTCCGGCAGTCCATTCCATGTTCAGAGACTCTTTGGTATTAATTATTCCTTTTATGGAGCCTAAATATTTTCCCCTAGAACTTTTATCCACTATTCTCATTCTTGTCAGTGAGGCTGCATAGATTAAGTCTGTGTAACTAGGTTGAATGTGAAACTAGAGTGGAATATATGCTTCAAGAGTAGTGTGACCAGTGTGGATAATGTAAATTTATCAGCATGATTTAGGATCAAATTAGCTTCCTTTTGCTGGTACCTATCTTTTTGATACCTAGTGAATTTGCTGTTCAGAAAGCCTGTTCACCTTCTTCACTAGAATTGTAGACAGACAAAGCTTGGGTACTACAAACTATACCTGTCATAGTTTTGAGGGAAAGACTCAAGTGCAGAACCTTACAATTAAACCTTTTCATGTTTATTAATAAATGTAAAATTCCTTATGAGTCAGCAAACATAATTTGGGTATTTAATCAGTTATAATGTCAGGTGGCATACCTGTAAGGATATGGATAAGAACCTAGTACATTTTATTTAACAAACATTTATTAATAATAAGTGCCAGCTACTATTCTAAGTGCTTTACATATATTAACTAATTGTAATTTTCATAACAAACTTATGTAGTAAATACTATAATTATCCTCAGATAAGGAAACTGGGGCACAGAAAAATAATTTGTCCAAGGTCAAAGATTAAGTACTAAAGCCAGGATTTGAACTAGGCTGTCTAATTCCAGAGCCTGTATTCATACTCATTATGCCTTGTTCCTAAATCTGTCAAAAATGTAAAAAAAAAAATCTGTTACATAGACTGTTAGGGTTCCTTAAAAGAAAAGTATGATGAGTTAGTGCTGTTGGATTCAAAACATCTAAGCTTTATGAAAGCACTATTAGAAAATACCTTCAAGTTGCTATGGATTTGATATATATGAATACAAAGTGTTGACTAGAAACAATGTCTAGCTCCATTCTAAGCAAGACTAGTTTCTCTAATGTTGCATTTTATATTTCAGCTATACAATTAAGAAGGAACTAATGAATGCCTCCAAATTTTGATCTTTTGATGTATACTTATTCTGATAAAGATTGTATTCAAATATTAAAACAGCAACACATCATGTTTTAATTTTATTTTTAAATTAACATACAGTAAAATGGACTCTGTGTGTGTATATAGTTCTATGAATTTTTATACAAGAATAGATTCATATAAACAACCACAGTCAGAATATAGAATAGTTCAATTACTCCAAAAAAATCCCTTGTGTTACCTTTTTGTAGTTGTTTCCATTCCAACATCTGGCAACCACCGATCTATTCTCTATCACTATGATTTTGTCTTTTTTGAGAATGTCACACAAATGAAATCATACAGTATTTTAAGCTTTTGAGATGGGCTTGTTTTACTAGCATAATGCCTTTGAGACTTATCCAAGATGTTGCATGTCAATAGTTCATTCCTAAATAGTATCCCATTGTATAGGTATCCCACAATTATCAATTCACTCATTGAAGGACATATGGGTTGGTTCCAGTTTTGGGTAATTGTGAATAGAGCTGCTGTAAACATTTGAGTGCAGGTTTATGTGTGAACAGACGTTTTTATTTCCTTAGGGTAAATACCCAGGAGCGGAATTGCTAGGTCATATGATAAGGGTATTTTTAACTTTATAAGAAACTGCCAAACTGCTTTTTAAGTGGCTGTATCATTTTGCATTTCCACAAGAATATATGAGCATTCCATTTGTCCTTCATCCTCACCAGCTCTTAGTATTAGCAGTATTTTTTATTTTAGTTATTCTTATAGGTATCTCATTGTTGTTTTAATTATTACTTCCCTAATGACTAATGATATCAACATCATTTCATGAGCCTTTCATGAGCTTATTTGCCATCTATTTATCTACTCTGGTAAAATGTCTGTTTAAATCTTTTGCCCATTTTTTTTTTTTTTGAGACAGGGTCTTGCTCTGTTGCTCAGGCTGGAGTGCAGTTGTATCATCAAAGCTCACTGCAACCTCGAACTCCTGGGCTCAAGCGATCCTCCTGCCTCAGCCTCCCGAGTAGCTGGGTCTACAGGCATGTGTCACCGCACCCAGCTAATTTTTCCATTTTTTTTTTTTTAGAGATCGGGTCTCACTATGTTGCTCAGGCTGATCTCAAGTGATCCTCCGTCTTGGCCTCCCAAAGTGCTGGGATTACACTTGTGAGCTACATCACCTGGCCTTGCCCATTTTTAAATTGGGTTATTTGTTTTCTTACTGTTGAATTTAGGGAATTCTTTATATAGTTTAAATACAAGGTCTTTGTAAGATTATGTGATTTGAGAATATTTTCTTCTGTTCTAGATATAAGGCCTTTGTCAGATATGAGATTTACAAGTATTCTCGTCTGTAACTTGCCTTTTTATTCTGTTACCAGTATCTTTTGTAAAGTTTTAAATGTTGACGAAGTCCAATTTATCATTTTTTTTCTTCTTATGTTGTGTTAGAACTCTTCGCCTAACCCCAGGTCATGAAGATTTTCTCTAAAAGTTTCTTCTAAAAGTTGTAGAGTTTTAGATTTTACATTTAGATCTATGATACATTTTGAGTTAATTTTTGTATAAGGTATGAGGTTAAGGTTGAAGCTCAATTTTTAGCATATGAATGTCCAATTGGTTTAATACCATTTGTTGAAAAGACTTTCTTTTGGACCTTTGTCAAAAATTAGTTGGCCGTGTTTGTTTGGGTCTGTTTCTGGGCTGTTTCTTCTGTTCCACTGATCTAAGTGGCTTTCCCTTCACCAATACCACACAATCTTAATTAATCTAGATTTACAGTACAACTTAAAATCGGGTAGTTTGATTCTTCAACATTATTCTTTTTAAAACTTACTTTGACTTTTCTAGTTCTTTCAAATTTCTACATTAATTTTAGGATGAGCTTGGCTATATTTACAAAAATTCTGTTGGGATATTTAACGAAATTGAGTTAAAATATTGATGAGTTTGGGGAATTTAGTCTTTCAGTTCTGAACACGATGTCCCTCCATTTATTTAGGTCTTCTTTGATTTCTTTCATTAATGTTTTGTAGTTTTCAGCATATACATCCTATTCATGTTTTGTTAAATTTATACCTAAGTAATTCAGTATTTTCGAAACTGTTGTAAATGGTATTGTTTTAAAAATATCATTTTCCAGTTATTCATTGCTGTATATAGATGTAAGTTTTTTTCTGTGTTTACCTTTTGTCCTGTGACCTTACTTAACTCAGTTCTAGGAACTTTTGTGGTCACTTCTTTAAGTTTCAATGTAAACAATCAAGTCATCTACAAATAGAGACATGTTATTTCTTCCTTTCCAATCTGTATGCCTTTTATATTCTTGCCTTATTACACTGACTAAAATTCCAATATAATGTCAAATAGCAATGGTGAGTGAAGACATTCTTACTTCATTCCTGATCTTAGGGGGAAGCATTCAGTCTTTCACCACTAAGTATGATATTAGATGTTGGTGTTTTGTACATGACCTTTATGAGGTTGTGGAAGTTCCTTTTTATCCTAGTTTGCTGAGAATTTTTTATTGGAATGGATGTTGAATCCTGTCAAATGCTTTTTCTGCATCAATTGGTATAATTGTGTAGTTTTTCTTCTTTAGACTAGTAATATGGTGAATTGCATTGATTGATGTTTTGAATATTGAACCAGCCTTGTATTTTCAAGATAAACTCCACTTGGTCATATTGTATAATTGTTTTTATACAGTGCTGGATTTAATTTGTTAATATTTTGTTGGGGATTTTTGTATCATTGTTCAAGACAGATATTGACCTATAGTGTTCT